ATGTTTAACTGAGATGGAAGTTAATGCCTTAAGACCTAATATAAGCACTGAATTAAATTTAAAATTGCAGATTTGAATTTTGACTTTTCTTTTTATCCAATAGCTGCTTTTTCTTTTCTTCCAAAGTGTTGCTATTATAAAGGTTTAGGAATTATGATCAAAACTTCTCCCTTTTATCTGTTCAGCCAATAAAGTTATAAGTTGTTTGGTATCTTAAGAGTTACATGCCAAGTTTATTGACACTACTGATGCAAGTTCATTATCATTCAGACAGATGGTATATGATATCCAGCATATGGTTCCAGATAATTTTGAGCATTGGAACTAGTAAACAAAGCAAAAACTATTTAAAGTTTGAGTGATTGGAAATTACATATCTATGTCCTTTACCATACATCTTACATTTCAAGTTAAAAGAAACAGTGAATGATGTTCATTTATTGCAAGTTTTAAAGCCAATGTAAGAAGTGGCTGTTACAGGTGTAATTATATTATAATTAGATTGTGTAGGTTCTGCATAAGAATGAAACTGGCACTGAAGGTCATCACAAAAAAAAATCTGAAAACAAATTAGAAATAGCCACTTAAATGTTTAGTCATTAAGGCTAATTGATTTTTCTTGTGTTTTTTAGCTATAATAATTTGTATCGTTTTGTGGAATGTCTTCATTTTTCAAATTTTTCATGGATTTATTCATAGGAGAAAGTTTTTTCTGTAATTTCACAATACAGTGGTGGAGTTGAGTATGTGAAATGTAATCTTACCTATCTACTCTGTGGTATTTCCCCCAAAAGTGACAAAACAGGTCCATTTAATAATGGGAAATTCAAGAAGATATCTATCATGAAACAATTCTATATTCTCTTACTAACTGAATTTGTTAAAAATATAGAGAGACTGAACAAAAATGTGCAATCACAATTAAAAGATTTTATTCAAAACAAATGTGGTAAAAATGTATATTCTGCATGTCACAATGGACATTTGCCTTTACTGGAGAGTTAGCTCAGAAGATAATCTAACACAGTGACCTTTTTGGACTGCATTTATCAAAAATGTAATTCCAGACTGAATAAATATCATGTTAGCTACTTAACTTGTTGATGTCAGATGTACCCAGAGTGACTAGTGCTAGTCATATGACTGATCAATGACATATGAGAGAGGTTATTACCTCAAGAGGCCACTTGACTTCCAGTAGAAAAGATACCTTTTTAATTTGCTGTACTATAAGTGACCTTGCAGTTATCTTTCCTATAGAAAGACAGACGGTGTTATTCTAGATAAATGACACAGAACAATAGGTAGTTGGAGCAAAAGGAACTTAACAACCTTTTTGACCAGTATGTTATGTGGGAACTACACATGCCTGCACAAGGAATTTTGAAAATGTTTATATTTATACAAGGAGAGAGGGAACTTTTAGTACTCTTATATACCATAGATATAACTGATTGGAAGTAGTGAACATATAATTTTTCTTTTAACTAGAACTATTTTATCCGGTTTGGTAAGCTTAAATTGGTAATAGTGATACTAAAAGATTAAATGGTTTGCCAATGTTTTTTTGTTTTGGAAATATGATATTTTCACTTGCTCAGTGAGTTAACAAACTTAGGTGTAACTAGAGGGGCACTCAGTAGAGTGTATACCTCTGCCAATGCAGTGTTGATCATATTTGACCTTCAAAAAATACAAAAATATGTCTGTATTTCTGTCATTATCAATGGACATAGACCATTTTTGGCAGGATAATGAGGAATAATATTTATCATGTGTCCACCAAGTTTCATCAAACTCCAATCATTTTTCAATGAGTTATAGAGCAAAAATTGTGTGAAAAATTGGTCCCTATGTTAACAAATAGGATTTTTTGGATTTTTTTTTACTTTGCTATGACCTTGACCCCCAAAAACAATTTAATTCTAAGGTGGGTCATGGTCCAAATGTATACCAACTTTCATCAGAATCCATTCAGTCATTTTTGAGAAATCTTGCTGACAAACGCACACACAGGGATAAAAACATAACCTCTGTCACCTGCGATAGTGGAGGTAATAATATGCAAGTCCAAGTAATGATAAAAAATAAAGAACTGCAGATTAATTCAAGTAAATGCTAATGTTTTAACTTAGAATGAGGAAGCAAAACATGTTTTAAAAATTCATGCTACAAATGTTTCTAATGCCTTTTGTTCTTCTTCTTGACTACATATTAACTTTATATTTTTTAATTGTATTCCACAAAGTTGACAAACAGTTCTGGCATCACTAGGTATAATGACACAGATCTGCTTTGTTCTGACTAATATGGGCTATGATAAAAACAAATTTACACTGAGAAAAAATTAAATTATGAGCATTATGTGAAAGGAGGGGGGGGGGATATACTGGAAATATATACTGATGAGAAGCTCTACAAATCTGAGACAACCTGGCCCTTTTGTGAAAAAAAAAAAAAGGTTTTCACATTCTTTTGTACTCATTAGTATCAGAACATGCTGAAACCATGAGAAGTTTCATTTTGGAAATTTGCAATTCTTTTAAATGTTTTCAAACTTCATTAGAATAATGTTCTTCATAAGGTCACTTTGCTAGATGTATATTTATAGAATTGATTGATGTGATTGTGAAAAAGATTATATGTGTGAAATTAGAAGAAAATTTGAGTGTATTTAATTATGTTACCCTGGAGTCTCATTTTCATTTCAAACAAAGAATTTAAATTCATTTATGTCATTGGCAAAATAGGTACTGTAATTTCTTTGAATATGATCTATATGTAAAAATCATATTAAAAAACTGTTATAAAAATGATATCTGTAAACATTATTAATCAATCAATTTTTTTAATACTTACTGGCACACTGTAAAAACCCTGGTTCCTGGATCAAATCCAGATTTTTAAATTTGAAATATTCTTAGAAGTGCATGTGTGTTCCATTCCACAAGTTATTAATTTAGTAAGTAAAATTTGCATGGTTATTTATATATGTGTGCATGAAACAAAAAGGTGGAATTGGAACTGAAATGTTTAGAAAATGAAATGAATATAATTTTGTGTTTCTTATCTTACAGAATACAAGCAGTAATCCTTCTGAGATACCTGATGACAAAACTTTAGTTGGATTTGCACAATTGACCATTACTGATTAACCCTTCTTTAAACTATAGCCATGATGTTTTAGCTCTAGAAATAAATATCAACAACAGAATAGAATAAAATAAGGTGAGATTTCCCCCCTTGCAGCTTTCCCCCTTTCTCTGTAGCATTCTCTAATGCATTCAGTCTTTAAACGTTGTATAAAAAATGAACAAAGAGAATTGATGTAAAAAAAAATAAGCAACCTTGTAAAGTAATGACTTTAAAGCTGGTTCTTGTAAAGATTATGGTCTTACTGTGATTCCATCATGTGATTTAATGTAATATTCTGGAAATAAAAGGTAATTAATCAAACTAACGTTTTTTATCTGTGTTATTTGATAGAAATATCAGTAAAATAGGTTATGATTTTAATAACATGATCTCTAAGCTAAAATTTTTTTTGTGCATACAATGCTGAGAAGAAACCCTTTAAAGACATAAACAAGGTTGTTAGGTTTGAACATACAATAAAATTTATATTTTAAATTATCATATTTACATAACATATTTAATGTAAAATGTATTGCATTATTGGCTGTTCACCGTACAGCAAGAAAAATACTAGAAAAGCAATTTTTATCCCGGTAGCAAAGAATTAAAAAAAGAAATTCTACTATGTTTTTTAACTGTACATCACATAGGTATGAAAGATCAGAAAAGAAAAAGATCATAATTGAGAGAGTATATATTTAGATAATATTACTTATAAAATTATATTTCTCATGGACTGAGAAAAAGCGATATTAAGAAAAAATGAGAATTAAATTGGTTTTCATACATTGATGTTCTTTGTCATAAAAGTTTTTTTTAATCTCCTGTGATAAAAAGACAAATTAGAAGATTGCATTTAACTAACGGCAAGATCAAGCAAGTTTTCAAACTGTTGGAATGGCTGATTTTACTCCTTAGAGCAAAACATTAATGTTAAAATACCCTTATTGCAAAGACTGCTGTATATTAAAAACAAATCAATATGCTCACCAGAAAGTATCTGTAAAAATTAAAAGGGCAGAATTGTGATAAATTCTGTGATATAAAAACCAACTACACAGAAGAGTTAGTGATCATGTAGGTAGTGATGATTTGAATAATTATAATGCAGTTTGAGCAAGTATTTGGAGTCTACGTGTAAATGGCTTTTCTTTAGTGCTTATTGAAATTCAGAAGTTAGAAAGTATATTATGAACCTAAGATGGCAGGCAAAAGATTATTTGGGTTCACAGTCATTCCTTAAAACTTCCAAAAAACCTTCTATATTCCTGAAAGAAGTGAAATCCCATTTATTACTTCTTTAAGATGTGCTTGAAGAACAAGTGGATTACAGAAAAGTATGGTGCTACTGATTATATTTTATTAAACAAAACTTCAAAGAAACGAGGCTTGCTCAAACATTGCCTTGATCTTCATGATGGTTTATCAGATTGCGAGAAAACTGGTGTTAATGCGACAGAACTGTGTGATAAATTGCAAGCACTTTTATAGAGAATAACTAAAATCACCCTGTAAAGTGTATTTGAAAACGTGTACAGGAACAGATTAACATTTCCATCCAACATTTTTACTCCACTGGGAATTTTGCTGACTTTGCCCAGCACTGTTGCTAATGGAGAAAGAGGTTTTCCCAAACTGAATTTGTTTGACATCAACCATAAGACAAAATAGACTCATTAGACTCCCAACAATCTCAATTAAGAACAAACTTGCATAAAAATTGGATCTGAACAAAGCAATATACATTTTCTCCTCAAAGAAAGACAAGTAAAATTCCTGTAATTGTAAAAGCTAAATTGGGAGGGTAATAGTGACATGTTAACAGTTAGTGTAACATTTCCTTATGCAGGAGCACTGTCAACTTTTCATGTGCAACAGGTGAACCAAGTTTTGATGGGAAATCCATTAAGTGCAAGAACAGTGGCCTGCTTTGGTACCTTGCAAAGGGGAGTGATAATGCCTACATGTATGTAAGTAGTGTACATGGTTTACTATGGACAAGTTCAAGTGCTTTGGACTGTGTAACACATCTGTCAGTCTAACACATGAAACACACTTTTTTTCTGTCTGGAAAGTAAGTAACAGCACATATAGTGATCTTTTCATCAGACGATGAAGTTTTGGTGTTGATTTTCAATTATCAATGATCAACTATCCAGATTTCCACTAGAATGGTCATCAGAGTGGAAAGTAAAGTGGAGGTATCCAATACCAACTGAAACCTCAATTTTGCCTCTGTCACAATACATCCAAAAGTGAATACCTTGTTACCAGAGAAATTGGGGTCACTTGTTGAGGATCACAGTGAAATCTAGACATAACACAGCAGCAAAGTCTCTGTGTCCTCTTGGTTGAGTACACTAGTGTATTTATTCGACTGGACAGCTGATTTGGTTGAACTACACTCACTTGCCACCATATAGAAATAGGCAATGTGAGTTCAGTTAAACATCTAACATGCAGGCTTATTTGTAGCACTAGGGTTATAGCCAGTGCAGAGATAAAGTGGAAATTGAAGGACATGATCAAATAGTTTTCTTAAGAGTTCCTTGTCAACTCCAGTGTTGATTATCAAGAAGAAGAATGGCATGAGCAGGTTCTGTGTTAATTTCTACACGGTGAATGATGCATATTGATGCCTTTCTGTTCCCATGAACAGACAAATGTCTGGATGCATTGGAAGTTGCTCAGTAGTTTATCATTCTAAACCTAGCCTGTAGATAATGACAAACTAAACTGGGTGATGAGAGCAGGATCAAAACTGCTTTTAGCACTCAATATAATTTGTTTCAGTTCTGAGTTGTGCCATTTGAGCAGACTGATGGACTTGATACTTAAAAGGCTGCAATGGGAGATGTGCCTAGTGTCCATAAATGATGTCTTGTAATTTGGCCAAATGTTTGAGTCTGATGTTACAAACCTGTCCATGGTTTTGGAGCAGATAAGAAAGGCTGGATTAAAGTCGAAACCCAGGAAGTGTATTATGCAAACACAAATAGAGCTTGTTGGACATATGAATTGAGTAGATATCTCAAATAACCCTCTAAGGTTTGCAGTTGTATGAGACAAGCCCCCAGCTCATGGAAATGTGAGAAGTTTAAAGATTTCTTGGGATTACATCATGTTATTGATGTTTCTTGGCCAATTACTTCAAAATTACCACACCAGTATCTGCTGTTACTAAAGCTGATGTGCCTTTTAAATGATCAAGATGTGCGAGATCCCATTCCTATCCTTGAAGTGTGCTTTAGGATAAACTCCCATTCTGACATATTCATGACAAGATTGTGAGTTCCTGTTGGATACCAATGCTAACAATTGAATTTGGGTTGTGCTGTCACAGTTGCAGAATGGGGCTGAACAAGTTATAGCACACTTACACACAAACTGTATGCTTACAGTTCATGAATGGTAATAGTGCAAAACGAAGAAAGAATTGTTTGCAGTTGTGGCCTTTGTTAAACACTACTGACATTATTTGCATTACTGAAATGGCTCGTGAGCTTTAAAGAAGAAACATAATGCCCGTTGTTTACAAAAATTTTGGTATGACAATGTTCTGGTTTTGACATTAAAACATTTAGTGGACTCTATGTATAAAAAGATAAGAATAATGGTTAGACTCATGTAATATATGCAGGAAAACACTGATTGACCTGTTTTGCAAGTGTTACAATCAAACTGAAATGTGAATGAGTAAGATGAAGTTATCTATGGAAAGTAATATTAGTAAATAGTAATATGTACCATAACAAATGTAAACTTGGTATTCCCAAAGTTTTATTGTATGGAATATATTCAAATATGCAGATTGAAATGTTCCAAAAGTACACAGTTTTATGAATATATTCTTAACATTTTCTAGTGCAATGTTAGTTATAAAGGATGAAAACTGTACATGTAGTACTGGAGGTGAGAAGTAACACCATGTTCAGGTGTAGTTGCTATCCTTTTTGCTGAAATCATGAGAGAGGAGATATGTTAATGTTGATGATTCTTCATGGTCAGAAAAATTAGTTTAGCACCAACATGGTTTTTGATCTATTTCAATTACTAGTGTGGTATCAAGCTTTACGGTCTTCCTACTCATTTATTTTTACTGGGCCTAGATTCTGTTAATGTAACAACCAGATAGTAGTGGAAAGAATGTAGTGGGATTTCAAGTTAACTGGGGACCGTCTTCATGATCATGATGACCTCAGAATGCAGAGCTGAGATTTAGGTCAACCTGAGGCTCAATGATGATGGCATTGACTAAGCTGTCTGCCAGAATAAGGATAATTTTTTACAGGCAGGTCAAGCATGAGCACACATAAGACTGTAGGCATAGAGTTTGATCACAGGATTATTTTTAATTTTCTCACTCTGATCCTGAAGGGTTTGTTTGTTTGTTTTGAATTTTATGCATAGTAACTCAAGGGCTAACTACATTAGCCATCCTTAATTTTCAAGTGATAGACTAGAGGAAAGGTAGCTAGTCAACACCACCATTGCCAACTCTTGGGCTACTCTTTACCAACATATAGTGGGATTAACCATCACATGATAATGCCCCCATGGCAGAAGGGGTGAGCATGTTTGGTGATGGGATTCTAATCTGAGGCCCTCAGATTGCAAGTTGAGTGCTCTAATTAGTAGAGGAGTTTTAGGATAGAGCATTTTTATAATAGGGACTTTACAGCTTTAACCAATTGCACTTTCAGTCCTGACTGTTTTCTTGTTTGTTCATTTATAAGTGCAAGGCTACACAATGGGCTATCTGTGCTGTGACAAGTATTGAAACCTGGTTTTTAGTGTTATAAGTCTTCAGACTTAATGCTGAGCCACTTGGGGTTTGACTTTCTCTATTCATGATCAAATCCTTAATCCTTCTGACAATCTTCTTTCAACCAATTATTTGAAGTCCAAATATTCTAAGGATTGTTGCATTTTCAGTTCTGATCTCTGCATTAAGGTGAAAAGAACCAGTGGTGAGAGTTTTTTTCTTTGATTTTAATGGCATTTCGGAATTTATTCTCTGTCAAAGTATAACTGCAGCTAGTATGATATGTATATTGTCAGAGCCTATGGATGAAAACATATTTCTCAATAACACATCTAACGTACAGGCTGTGGTAGAGGTGATTGTTGGGTTAGCCCTAAGAAGTCACCACCAGCAGCCTCACTAGTAGTGATCCAGACAACAGAGTAAGGGAGTGGGGGTTGCATCAATCTCTCGATATCCAGCCTGGCCTGTAAACCTAATGCCAGATCCAGCACTCCTAGGAGTTAAGCAGAGATATAGAATCAAGTTCAAAGTAAAGTTAGAGCACTGGCAGAAGTACTATAAGTGCCTCATTGAAGGGTGTTTATGAAATGAAACTATGTGTTCAAGTCCAACATGATCATTACATCTCTCATTTCAGCAAGACCTTCCCGGAGTTACACTGTGAATGGAAGTCATTTTAAAGTAAGAAGGCCACTTCAAATACTACTCTAGAGACAACAACCCAAGTGGCAACGAACATTGCATTCACACCAACATTGAAGATGCGCACTGAGGTGGTGATATCCACTATTAACACCAGGGTTTCTATATTCTTAAAGCTCTAAAGACGAGGGCAGTGAAGTTGGAGCTTCCCACCAAGCCTCCAACCCAGTTAAAATGAGTAGTAGATGCTGAGGCAGATAACAGTTCTAAAATGCCATTGTCAAGATAGGCAGCCTAGTGGGTCCGGACATTATATAACAGTGAGGAAGACCATCTACTGAAGAAAGATTCATTCTTTTATGCTGAATTATAGTTTAAAATGACGCGTTATTTAAATTGGTTTGGGATGTTGATTAAGCAGTACAATGGTATCGTCTTT